GAGTTGGGTACCAGCTTTGCTCAAAGTGGTTTCTACCATGAGGCTGTGGACCTCTTCACCCAGGCCTTAAAGCTCAATCCCCGGGACCACCGGTAGGTAGGAGCTTGGCCACTGTGCTGGGACATCAGGGTAAGGAAGGGTGTTGAGGACCTGGACCTTTGTCCACTTTTTCTGTTTATCAGGTTATTTGGAAATCGCTCCTTCTGCCATGAGCGGCTGGGTCAGCCAGTGTGGGCCCTGGCTGATGCTCAGGTGGCCCTTACCCTGCAGCCTGGATGGCCCCGGGGCCTCTTCCGCCTGGGCAAGGCCTTGATGGGACTACAGGTAATAGAACTGAGGCTGGAAACAAAGGAGAGATTTGGGTGGGATGAGGTAGGGAATAGGTTTATATTGACCTTTTCTGGATAAGCTTCTGGTTGCAATACTAGGAGGTGGGGACAGTTTGAGGACGGAATCAGTTTTAAATTCTTGGGACCCCTGATGCCTAAATTTTGCCTTTTCTAATCTCTCTGGGACCAAAGCGCTTTAGGGAGGCTGCTGCTGTGTTCCAGGAGACTCTGAGAGGGGGTTCTCAGTTGGATGCAGCCCAGGAGCTACGCTCTTGCCTTCTGCAGCTCGCTCTGGTAAGGGAGGTAGGCTGACTCTCAGGCCAGGTATAACTGGTTGGGACCACAGCACCAAGCAGTGCTACCTTCCATCTCATAGGGCAAGGGACACAGGATGGTGGGGTCATATTCCTCTCTCTCTTCCTTCTCAGCAGGATCATCAGCAAGGAAGAATTTGTGTGCCACCTGGATTGACCAGGGCCCCCCAGCAATCTGCCCATTCTGGGCCAGGAGCCTCAGGCCTACTCTCCCTCAGTCATCCTCCAAGCATTGTTCCAAGGTCCCCTGGTCTGGCTCTACCCTTGCATTATCCTCCATATAACCTGAGCCACTCCAGTTGGCCTTTCCCTCAGACTCAGAGTAGAAGACCCCACTCTCTTCATCTCCAGGACCCTTCAAAGAATTGGGACATCCTGGGGTCCCAGCATCTGCCTCAGGCTAGATAAAAGAAGACCTGTCCCTCATATGGCAAGGCCATGTGGACATCCCAAGGGATCAGGGACACTGTGGGGACAATTCACTGCATGTTTTGAGATGCTGTACTCAAAACCTGTATTTGAGGACAACGCTGGCAGTTGTTCTTGCCACTGAAGACCTTCCAATGAGAGAAGGGAGTCCCATATCTACTGAAACATCCTTTCTTTGGTTCTTAAGCAGATGGCTTCTTCTAGGGGTGGTAGGAAAAACAAAATCCACCATTGCCCAAATAGGAACTGTATAGAAGTTCCGGTCTTTAGACTACATCAGAGTCAGTAAGGATGCATCTGGGGCTTGCTCTGCTTCTTGGCTTCATTCACCAGCTAGAACTTTGTGCTCAAGAATGAGGTCAGTGTAATGAATAAGATTTGAGTCCCACAGTTTAGCTTAATGACATTTACGTCCTCCTCACCCCAGCTCTTGCCCTATCTTCTTTAGCTACAACCCCCAGTTTACTTCAGTCCCTTGTGTCATTTCCTGTCTACATTGCTGTGCACACTCTGACCTCTTCTTTGTCTGATGGTCTTAAACCCACATCCTCCTACTCCTGGAAGATTCTTTAAGGTTTGCATTCAAAATGTCCCTTACTGTCTGATATCTGGAACTCGCGGGGCCCACACATCTCCACACTCCCTACTGCTGACTCCTATTACATGGTTCCCAGGCTGCTGCTACCTTGGGCACTTTTTCCACCCAGCACTGGGCATTGCAATTAGCCTTTCCCCAAGAGTTTCCCCACCAAAGGTCCCTGCCCCAAAGATGGCTATAATTCTCTACTTCCTGTGTAAGAAATATGATTTTCTTTTGGCTTCTCTAAGATCCTGGCAGCTTCCTTTGGCTGATTCCTTACTGACTCTGTCTAGGACACTTAGCTCATTTAGGTGTGGATCTGCAGTGGGATGGGGGGGTCACTTTTAGCCCTCTTGTCCAAATGTCTTCCCCAGAGGAATCATTTAGTCTTGTTCAACTTGGAGATAGGAGGTATTGAAATTTCACTCTTATATAGGACTTTCCTAAAGTTTTTTGTTTGTGATTTAAGCCCCTTAAATACTGTGTAGCAGGATGAAGTCTACCATTACTATGTGGGTCACTTTGGACAAATTTCCAAATAGTTAAGCCTCAGTTCCCTCATCTATAAAACAGGCAATTCCTACCTCACAGGGCTGCTGTGAGGATTAACAGAGAATAAGAAAATACCACAAAGTGCCTAGTACACACAGGATGCTAAATAAACTATTTTTGCTTATAACTATCCTATATATTTGTGATTCCTGCAGTGAAAAGGGAGGAATAGGAGTGAATCGCTGCCTAAATTCATAAAACCCAGAGTTCCTAGAACTGTGGGTCTCCAAGTGTGGTTTTTGGACCAGCAGCATCAGTATTATTCAAGAACTTGTGGCAAATACAAATTTGCAGACCCCAAGCTAGGCCTTCCAAATCAAACTGGAAACCATAGGAGTGGGGGCCAGCAATTTGTGATTCAATATGCCTGCCAGATGATTGTGATGCACACTGTTCTAGGGCTTAGAGAGCAGACATCCATCCAGAGGCCATTTTGGTGGGACAGGTCTGAGTTTTGTTATCCAAGGCTTGAGTAGAAGAGGTGGCAGCAGTGGCATTGCTAGAATTAAGAAACCTTATTTGCCTTGGGACTCCTTGGCTTTTCCCTCGGGAGTTGGCAGGTGGTAGGGGGGTGGGGGGAAGGATAGTTGTTTTTGTTTAAAGGGTAATTATATTGCAGTGATGCCTTAAGAAGTCTGTCCATCTAGCTTTCCTGTTTTGAGTTGGGGAGGGAGATCTAGGTACTTCTGAGATTCCCAGCTCCTCAAAGCATGGTTACCCACTACTGTGTGGGATTTTAACCTTTAAACTGGGCTAGCTTCTTGCTTTTGTTTGCAAATGTTTCTTCCCAGCTCTCTTAACCTTTTAAAGACTTGAATCTTTAAGCCAAGAGCCACAGGACCCTGACAAGTTGCCCCACTGTGCCCTATACACACCACTCCTGATTGATAGTTTTCTGACTCAGCAGCGTAAATTCCAAGTAGTCAGGACTGGAAAGTGGGTAACCAACCATGCTGATTTTTCTGGGTCTTGCAATGTGAAGACTGGGAAAGTGCTGGGCAAACCAAGAAGGGTTGGTCATGGGCTAGAAAGTTTCCAGAGGGACAGTCTTTAGAAAGTGATGAAAGGAATAAGGGAGGAAGGGGAACCAGGGGTGGTATGTGTGTTGTGTATATATATTGAGGGGATGACACAGCTGCAGAGAATGTTTCTTAGCAATACAGCAGTGGTCATTTTTTCTGTCCATGATGCCATTCCCCACACCACCACCCATTGTACAGGTTTGTAAGGTTGTCACTAACTCCTACAGTCCTTGGTCACTGGGGCAATCATACTGATTCCTCTTCTGTGACCACCTCCTCATCCTAGCCCATAAGTCTAGCCCTGAATTCTCTATCTTCTTACCTTCTGCAGTGGCCAGAGATGTACTGCTTTCTTCCAATCTCTATCAGTCTGATCCATCATGCACATATAGCCATATTAGCCTACCCTAAACATTGCTCTAGGGTATCTAGAACCTCCTGGAACCATGCTCTAAGGTACAATGCCTACATTCCCAACTTTGGCCCTTTCTGCTCTCCTGTTTTTATAAGTTCTTTGCTTCTTCCCATTAGACCTTGTCCTCTTTACAGGGACAGTAGCTGTAGTTACTGAAAGCATGTGCTCCTGAGTCAGACAAGCACAAAGGTTAGTTAGCTCCACCTGATCATTTACAAATTGCATGACCTGGCCAAGCTCCCTTAAGCTTCTCTGATTCAGTCTCTTTATCCTTAAAATGAAAATGAAACCCTCTGTCCCTGAGGTCATTGTGAGGATTAATCCACGCAAAGCACTTGGAATGGCTCAATAAGGGATAGTTATTTCTGAAAATGCCAGGTCTCCTCCTGCCTTCCAGCCTGTTTACCCTTCCTGGAAAAACTTGTTGGCTCTCCACCTGCAACTGAGGCCTAACACCCTGGCTATCTGCGTTAAGCACAGGGAGGATCTGAGGAGGTTGGGTCGACTGAGGAAAAGAGGGAAAGCTGGAAAGAGCCTAAGCATGGTCTCCTGAAGGTTGGCTGGGATGGCCAAGGGTGAGGAAGCCCTGCAGCTAATAGAGTTTTCTCCTCCCTTCCCCCATCATCCTGCAGGAGGGTGCTTAATAGCCAACAGAATAAATGAGTGTCAAAAATGTCAGCATTGGGGCCTGGGGATATAGCTCAATTAGTAGAGTGCTTGTCTCACATGCACAAGGCCCTGGGTTCAATCCCCAGCACACCAATGTCAGCAGTGGTAACCCAGGGAGCACTCGCCTAGCATGTGTGAGGCACTGGGTTCCATCCTCAGTACTACATATAAATAAATAATCTCAACTATACACACACACACAAAATGTCAGTATTGCAGCTAGACTGGATTTCCCACCCTGCAAGCCGGGCTACTCCAAGTTCTGCCTGGGGCCAGGCTTTCCCACCCTCTTGAGACCTGGTGGTGCTAAGAACATTTCTGGCACAGGAGGTGCCAGCCTCCCTCTGCAGAACAGAGAGGCCTCCTAGAGTCCTGCCACAAAACCTAGCCTGTAGGAGCATGGTGAGGGGTGTGCTGGCCCAAGCCACAGCCCAAGTCCTACCCACTTTTTCTTCCCACCCAGTGTCTCCTAGGCAGAATGACAAGCATCAGCTCTGAAGAACAGGATTCTTTTGTAAAATGGGCCTAATCACACACCTACCCGATAGGGTTGCCACCAGAGTTAAAAGAAACATCAAGTTTCAAGTGCTATACACGGTGTCCGCACCATATAACCAGCAATAACCAGCAGATTTTGCTGTTATTGTCTCTGGGCGCCGGGACTGAGGCATCTTGCAGCAAAGCCTCGACTTTATTCTCAACAATGGGAAAGAAGGGCGCCTGGATTGTGGGCCAGACAGGCCCAGGTGGACCTCCTCCCTCCACCCGGGAACCCAGACAGGACAAAGAGTGCGGAAGGAAGGAGTCCGGGGCTCCAGAGTTCAGGGCTGTTATTGGGTTTGCCTTCAATCATCCACCTGTATTTCTTCGTCTGATAGGTGGGACCCGGAGTTAGGCCCAACAGAGTAGGGGCTGGAGTTGGGGCCAGGGCTTTGAGAATCCTGAGGCAGCGCCAGGCTGCACAAGACTCCTGGGGACAACGAGCGTAGTGAGGCCACGTCCGCGCGCATCTCCTCCACATCGCGCTTAAGCTTGGCACGGCGATTTTGAAACCAAGTAACAACCTGTGCGTTGGCCAGGCCGAGTCGCGCAGCCAGTCCGTCGCGCTCTGAAGGTGCCAAGTACTTTTGGAAGACGAACCGCCTCTCCAGCTCCAGCACCTGCTGCGCAGTGAAGGCTGTCCGTGACTTGCGTCGTCTGCGGCCGGCAGGGGCCGGGCCCAAGGCGTCTGGAGCGGCCCTGCCTGCAGGGATAGGGCGGGGATCAGTCTCAGGCCGGCGGGAATTAGGTTGTATCCTTGGAGGAAAAGCTGGGAGTGAGATCAGTCCAGTAGGTGGGCGAGAGAGAGGGAGCCAGGAAAGATGGGGACCAGTACCGCGGAGGTCAGGTTGAGGAGGGGTGTGGGGAGCCAAGCGCAGCATGCCACTGGAGTTACCAGAGGCTGAACACTGAGGGCTTGTGAGGGAGGAAGGGGGCTGGAAGGAGGGTGGGACAGGCCCTAGAAATTCTGGTGTAGGATCAGGCCGCCTGAAGTACAGACTTGGAGGCCTTTTGTAGCCCCAGGTTGTGCGGGCTAGCAGATTTGGGGTGACACCAGAGGTAGGTCAGAGCAGTGGTGCCTGACCCCGGCTGGTGAAGGTAACAGGACCTAGATCATGCCCTTCCTTAAACTCCTGAGTCGTGTAGGGCACTCAGCTTACACTTACTTTTTCAGTGATACCAACGCCTTCTCTGAGAGCCCCAAAATTTGATAATGGGAGTACAGAAAGCCAGGAAAGTCGGAGTGCGATGTCCCGCCCCCAACGCCACGCCGAAGACCTTTGGCTCTTTGCTCCCCCTCATGAAGAGAGTGACTTGGAGCAGAGCTTGGTCTCCTGGAGAGACCCAAGTGTCGCCTCCCCGCGCTTCTGCCTCGTCCAAGCCCTGGCTCATTAGTTTACAGCCTGCGACTCGAGCCTTTTGTCTCCTACTCTCCGGCCTTTCTCTGTCGAGATTACCCCGCCTACTGCGAACCGACCAACGGGTCGCTCAATTCTGGACAGCCTGGCCTTTTGCTGGTGGCTTCCTGGAGCAGCCACAAAGTCTGGGGAACTAACCGAGGAGAGGCCGAAGCCGGGGATTCGAATCCTGACGCACGGACTGAGGGCAGGCGCCGATTAGGGTGACCCGGCCGGGATGAGACGAAGGTTTGAAACCAAGAACCAGGAAAAGAGAAATGAAGAGACAGTCAAGTTGGGGTCCAAGACCTTGCCCGCGTTATACCTTCAAAGGGCTGTGAAGCGCGCCCGTCAAGTCCGCGGAAAGTTTTACTGGTCAGCTCCTCCAGGGCGCACAGCGGCGACGTCCGATCCGGGCAGGATTCTGGAAGCTGTGGCGCAGTGGGTGCTCGGGGGACCATGCGAGGGCCTAGAATGTCTGCGATGCTGAAGGGTATTCGGGGCTGGCGTTCGGAGTTCATGGCCCTCTGGGTTATGGTGGTCCCGCCACCCGCTGCGCTTGGCTCGGCAGTCACCAGGGCCCCAGCACTGGCTCCCAATCCGGGCCCCCTGACTCAGACCCGCCCCCGGCGCTGGGCTTCAGCTTCAACCAGGTGCCCCTCCTTCTGCGCCCCCACCCTCTCTCCCCAGGGCCCCAGCGGGTCTGGAGCGGGTAGATGTCCCAGCAGCCTTATATCTACAGTGAGAGGCGCGGAGATAAGTAGGCAGAAGAACCAGCCTGACTAGGGCCGCCGTGGATCTCTGCGCTGTGGGGCGCAGTCGCGTGTGCACTAAAACTGGCCCTAGTCCCCTAAACTTTGTAAGCTGCCTAGGCGCCTAGGCGCCGCTCTGGCTCATAAACTTGTGAGCGATAAAAATTGCTTTCCAGGGCCCCAACAGCTGGGAATTTGCAAAGTTTCACGGACGAGGATCCCTGAACTCAGTCTTCTAACCTGGCACCCTTCATCGCCACCAATCCCTGGTAAATGCTCTTAAAATGATCCTGGAGGCTGAAAGTGATTAGTAAGGCACAAGGGGTCAGGGACTCCAGACATGGGACAGGCAGAGCGACTGCAATGGGGGGGGGGGTGTCACAAGGAAACAAGGGCAGGTGAGTGGACCCTACCATGGTTTAGAGGCCCAGACTAAGTCAAAATACGTGGAAAAGCTGGGGGAGTCTTGAGCCTCTGGAGAGACCTGGCAACTCCTGCCTTCAGCCGGTGCTACTCAGGAGCGGTCTTTGCCAGTATTTACTGGTCTCCACTGAAGACCTCCTCTATTGGTCTATCAGTGGATCTTTGTCATTTTATTAAATTTCTATAGTTCAGATGTGTTTTCCTTAGCCTGTAGAGGCTCAGAAATAGCCCAGATGAACAATTGGGGGAGGGGGTGACCAGGATGGAGTCACTCTCAATGGAAGTCTGATTTGAAGGGCAGACTTCTTGGACCCATCAGATAGTGAGATAGACACCCCAGCCAATCCAAGCACAAATTCTGAGGCCTAGTCTCTTTATTCCTATTTTTTCAGTGTCCTATTTCTCTTCTCTTTCACATTTAGTCTAGTCCTGGGCTCATACCGCGACAAACAACCACCCTCCTTCACAGAAAGGCAGCTAAGGGACTGCACAGTCCCAGTCCCAGTAGTGGAGTCTTGGCAAGGTTTGGGTTTCTTTCCTATATTCCATCTCAGATAGCTGGATGCTTCATAGTCCAAAGACAGAGAACATGCTGATCTGCTGCCAGAGCAGTCAGAAATTAATGTTTTTCTGGTTTTGTGTATGTGTGGGTATGTAGGGGCGGGGGTGTTTGTTCTTGGGCAGTGCCATGAAGAACCAGACACATCTGACCTAGACTGTTCATTATGTCACCTTCCCTGTAGACCTCTGAATCTTCTATCAGTTTTGCAATGTCCCTCTGTCTACCTGTTTATTCCCTGGGGAAGGTAAAGCCTGCAGGTGGGGCTTAGCCATAAAGGGCTGGGATCCTCAGCACCTAGGCCAAGGTCTCTGACAAGAAAAGGAAGGTACCTTGGTAGTGAGGGTCTTCTTTATAAAGGGCTCCCTACAACTACACTCCCAACCCCCAAACACCCAGTCCTTTACATAGTTCCCTCATGGAGGCCTGGCCTGGGCAACACACTTGAGGTTGAACACCGATGGGCCACTGCCAGGTCAGAGAGCAGAGTTAGGCCACTGTGGAAAGCTGAGCTGCCTCAGGACCTTGTTAATTGCTTATTAATGGTGGGAGTCAGGGGAGGGGGGATTCTCCTGCTTCAGGCCTCAGCTCTCAGCACCATCCTTGTGGTTTCATTTAATCTGCAATTAAAGTGGATCCCAGGAGGCAGCGGGAACTGATCTGCAGCATCCGAGGCACGTCACCAAGCAGACACTGCATCCTTCACTCATGCATCCACTACATGGCTTTTATATCCATCTCGACCTCTGCTCTCAATTACTTCTGTATGTCTGTGAGGAGTGTGGACTCTCTTGATAGGCTTCTGCCTTCCCTCCCCTTCCATCTCTTCTGCCTACCTTCTCTTCTCTGCAGCAGGGCTCAGGTAATGGGATTGAGATCCCCAGACACAAGCCTGGGGGAGGTGAGGAAAGTGGAGACTAGTAAAAGGAGGATGCCAGGGACAACAGAGGCCCAGCTAAGGTCGGCCAGGGACTAGTACAGACTATCCTGGGGCCACAGAAGGGGGCTTTTCCCCAGTGAAGTGTCTGGAACGCAAGCTGGAGAGAAACTGGATCCGCTGAGGGGGGTAGGAGGAGGGTGAATGATTAATGAGGGAGATTGAGAGATTAAACCTTGGTTCTGGGTTTCAGGGGGTACTTCACTGTCTCAAAGACTCCCCCCCACCCCACCCCAGCTGCAAAGCACTGAAGCTCCCTGGTTCTGAGTCATTTCACTGGTCTTCCGGCCATACCTCCCACTACAGTGTGAAATCTTCCTGCCATAAGTCCTTCTTGGGAGAGTCATCAACTGTGTCTTCACTGAAGCCTGGCACGGTCCCAGAGTTTTGCTTCCCCAGACATTCTCAATCTCTCACATCTCCCACTTCCTCAGATTCCCCTCATTGTCCCTTCAGACATGTCAGGGTCTTGTACTCCCTCTCCTTATAGAGATCCTCACATTCTGACCTTTACTCCTTTGAGAAGGCAGCTTATTACCATTTAAGAACACTTTTCAAACACCTCTCTTCATCCATTTTCAGATTTCCCATTCTCAGTTCCCAGCACAACCCCCGGTCCCACTCCCGAAACCTTCACCCAAAGATTCCTCCACCAAGGCGGGTCCAAGATCGCTACCCTCCCCCGCTTTACTGAGGTCTGTTCAATAAAGGACCATTAGTCTCAGGATTGCCCGCTCTGCATATCTGTCTGAATTGAGTGTATATCGGGTTTGAGAACACCCAGAATAATCTCCTCGGGGCTGTGGACAGGAAGAACACTCTTAGAAATGTGCTTGCCCTCCTCCTCTCTGTGTTTAGGGAAAATGATTGAATCGGAGTGAGAGAACAGTGGGATTTTACGAAGGAATATTCAGGCAAGGAAGGTGGAGCGGTGTATCGCACCGTTTCGAAAACTTCTGGGATATTCTCTTTCAGAAAAAAATTACTGCCGAGTCGCCCGAGCAGACTTAAATTTTGCTTTCGTTATTTGTGGGGCGGCGGGTCTGTGAGGCTTTCTGGTCCCGTTCGCTTGCCGGCAAAGAGCTCTGCATGCACCCACCGCCATCCCAAGTGTGTGCGGCTATGTGAAAGGAGTGGCTGCACACTCAGACTCTCTTTCCCTCATTGTTCTAGGAAAGTTCTTTTCCTCACCCCGCCCCCCTTAAATTCCTGGGGAGACTGGCCAGTCCGGGAGAGGGACCAAAGTGTCCTGTGCGAAAGGGGGTTCAATTCCTCGGGCTGAAAGTAAGCAGCGGAAATAGCTGCGAAAAAGGTAGGCAGGGGTAAGGGCGGGTTCGGCCCGCAGGCAGGACTGAAGGTCCTAGTCGCAGCACTGAAAAGCCGAGGCGGCGCTGCGGCCGCATCTCTTTTGAAACTGAAAGATCGCTGCGCTCCAGTGCTTTCAGAGTCGCGGAGCCTAAGAGAACAGTGTAAGCGATTCGCCAACCCTGGCACCGATCGAGACCCAAGTAATCCCGGCGGCAGAGTGGGAAGGGGAAATGGATCCACAGGCCCCTGGGGCGAGTTACGCAAAGCCTGCAGATTGTCAACATCAGGTACCGTGGGAGAAGCACCGCAGCTGCCGCCACTACTACGCTGACTGACAAAATCAAGGCTGCCGCGCGGGGCTGGGCCCAGCTTCCGCAATCGCTCCGTCCCAGGGACGGGTGTGAGAGCGCCTTTAGCAGCTCCTTAGCCTCTAGGCCACGTGTCATTAAAGACCTCATCTTAGGCTTCATGCATCTTATCTTTGGTCCCACTTTCACATCCCCAAGCTCCAAACCCAACTGGAGGGCTATCATTGGGCTAGTCAGTCTGCTCCCCAACTCTCGCAGCTACCGGACGCAAAATGTCCCTTGGAGTGTTCTTTCTTTCCTGTTCCCCGCCGCTCCTCCTCCTCCAAACCAGTCACCCTAGGAAATACCAGTTTGCTCATAAACTCTTTGGTAACAGCCTGGGTGCCTCGAGCTCCTGTGGCTCCGGCAGAGTTTAAATTTGGAAGGAAGGGAAGCGGGGCGGGGCTGGGATATCATTAATCCCAAATCCCCAGATGTTTTTGAGGCTGCCTCAAAGGCATTAGAAGCTGATTCTGGATCGGGAAGAATTTGCTGGAGGTGAGCAGTGCACCGGAAGGTGTGTGTGAGGGGGGCATTCCAGGCATGAGACCCAGAAACAGGGGAAGCTTTAGTAATCTTGGAGACCTGGGTCAGGATGGGATTGTACCCAGGTAGTTCTGCAGTGTTCCCACTCAGGTGCCTGTCCCCTGCCCCATGCACTAGGGCTCTCTTTCTCAGCACCTTCAACCTTTCTATGCTTGCCTTCCCCTTGATGGCACACTCTTCATCCACACCCAGTGTTAGAGGTTTCTAGAAAGCACAAGCAGATTATGGTAAGAGAAGGGGAGTTCTAGAAGTGACCTCAGGTTTTCCCCACCCAGAGTTAAGTTTCCAGTTTTCTTACCCAGTTCAGACAGCCCTCTGTAACCACCACCAGGCTTTCACCTGTGTCCTCTGCCATCTGGTGTCTTTGGTTCTCAACAGGTATGCACAGCCACCCCCTTAAAGTCAGACTTAGTGGAGTCAGAAATAGGTCAGTGCCAGAATGAGATTTAGGCTTTCCAATCTCTTTCCACTCTCCATCTCCTGACATTTATGCTTCTTGTTCCATCCCACTGTTCCAGACTCAGAAGCAGCCCCCTTTGCTTCCTTCAGGAAGTCTTTGCTTTGGCCTCTGTGCCTGTCCCAGTTGCGATCCCATTTAGAGGCCCATAGAAAAAGAACACTGGCTGAGTTTATTGCCAGCGCCCAGAGTGCATGTCCAGGCTTATACAGACAAGGGACGTCTGCCCAAACACTCTGTGGAGCTTGGGCCTTGCTGCTTCTTTCTTGTTTTTGTTCTTCTTCTTCTTCTTCTTCTTTTTTTTTTTTTTTTGGCAGGGGGTGGGTACTGGGGATTGAACTCTGAAGCACTCAACCACTGAGCCATATCCCCAGCCTTGTGTTGTATTTTATTTAGAGACAGGGTCTCACCAAGTTACATAGTGCCTTGCCATTGCTGAGGTTGGCTGTGAACTTGTGATCCTCCTGCCTCAGCCTCCTGACCTGCTGGGATCATGCCAAACTCCTCTTGTTCTTTGAAGTTGCCAGTGTTCTCTACATCAGCCAGCTTTTCTCAATTTTCCCCACCCTGGCTTCACTTAGCCACTTCCTTCTTCCCACCACAGGAAACCTATAAGAATAAGCCAAGCTTCCAACTGTATCCCTGCCACCTCTACCCAATTTCTTTTGTTTTTGTTTGGTTGTTCTTTGCAGTACTGGGAATTGAGCCCAGGTGTATTCTACTACTGAGTCATTTCAGCTCTTACAAAATATTTTATTTTGGAAGAGAGTCTCACTAAATTGCCGAAGCTGACCTGGGATTTACAATCCTCCTGCCTCAGCCTCCCAAGTAGCTGGGATTACAGGCATGTGCCAACACACAGGTCTCAACTGTTTTTCAGATTCCTTCCTTCTTTCTCTTCCTATTACTCAGGTTATAGAACCAGAGTGCAATTCTTTGAATGTTTCTTTAACATATCACTCTTCTTCAGCAGACACTATTGAACCCTAGCCCTCCTCTCCCCATACTCAATTAGGACACCTTGACTCTGCATCACATGCTGCAGCATACAAGGACAGTGAGAGCTGCTCCCAGAAAGCACTCCATTCACCAAAAGGAGCTGGTATGGGTGGGTTTCAGTTGGCTCAGTTTCTAAGTTTCACTATAGGGCCTTATTCCCTTCTCCTTTGGCAAGACATTGAGGGCCCTTCACAGTAGAGGAAAGGCCCATCTTTAGAGTAAAACTTATGAGGATTTTTGAGGGAAGCAGGACACAGGACAAAGCCTGAGTGTGTGGCAGGAAGAAGAAAGATGCTTTTTTAAAGCTTTTATTTCAAAAAATAAAGCCACAGTTAATTTCACATAAATATCTGGGAAGGGAAGGGGTAAGGGATGGGGTTGGGGCTTGGCCCCTACCTCCTCTTCTCTTTCACACTGTATTGTAAAAGCAAAGGGGATGGCTAAGGAAAGAAAGAGGGAAGAAGTAGTCAGTGGACAGTTTATTATATGAAGGGCCCCAGCCCACCTTTGCCTGGCTTACCTTGCCGAACCAGCGGGAGAGCCATATCTGTTTCATTGTCATGTGATCGGGGAGAACTTCATTGTCAAAAAGGAGCTGTACCTAAGAGGCAAATGGAATTCTCCTCTTTGGTCTAGAACTACCCTGGTGTACCCTAGACTTTGTCCGTCCTTTCTTAATTCCTTCTTCTTCATAAAAGGAAATTAAACTACTGTGGGATTACTTACATGCTGTGGATTTAGCATCAAGCGGTGACAAAGGACCCTCCGGAGATGGCGTACCTCAGCTCTAACAGAACATCTGACATACTTATTCTAAGGACAGGGAGGGGGAGGGGAAGACAAAGTGCTTAAGGAGGGGCCACAGGAAGTTGAATCTTCTTAGATGAACCCTCCCTTCAACCCCTCTCACCTGCAGAACACTTTTATTCTTGTCTTTGCCAGAACTGGGGGGGAAAAAACACAGGTTAGGGAGTCTCCATCTTTCCTTCCTTCCTATACCAGGAGCCACCCTGCATACTCTTAAAGTACACAGACACTCCCTTACTGCTTGGCCTCTCTACTCCCCTGATCTGGGCACTATCATTTCACACAACTTCTGAACTGCTCCTCACCTCAGTCGCTCCAAGCATAGGCTTAGCTGCTCATCATAGCGATAGTAGTGGGCTTTGGAGTGGTCGAAGCTGCTGAAGGGGAGGCCAAGGTTGCTGAGGGCTGGCTCTGAGAAAAATAAGGTACTGAAGAGGTTCCATATCCTTCTTTTCCCAGAAAAAGAAGGTACTGAGGAGGTTCCATACCCTTCTTTTCTCTGGGGGCTTAGCTTTACCCTTCTGCTACCAAGGACATACCTTCCCCACTGGGCTGAGTGACCCTGTCCAAGCCTCGAGACTGGTAGAATTCCCGAATTCGTTTCTCTTCACCTAGGAGGGTGTGAAGTATAGGAGTAAACTGTTAGTCCTCCTTCTTTGTTCCTTTGGCTGTTGGCATTTTTAAAACCTACATAATTCCCATCAAAACCCTTGTCACCTCAAGCTGTCACCCAGCATTCATTAGATCTCAAGAAGCCTCTCAAAGTCAATTTGATTACTCACTGTCTTGCAAGCCAGGCACTAGCTTGTATACGATGTCCTGCATGACCCGGTCCAGTTTGAGGTTGAGCAGTGGCTGGGTCTCGTGAATCTTGATGTTGCACATGGGGCAGTACTTGCTGGTTTGCAGGTACTTCACGATGCAACTTTTGCAGACTGCAGAAGAGAAAAGCAGACTTTCAAACTCCCTGGGAACCCAATACATGGGATAGGTGGGGCAGGAGGCACAGAAGCTCTGCTTGGTGAGGACTTGGGCCTGGAAGAATCAGGTAGGATTTAGGGCACTCACAAGTATGAAGACACTCAGTGATAGTGGTGGCATCCACGAAGTAGCCAGCGCACAGACAGCAAACGATATGCTCATTCAGGTCTTTGATCTTCACTCGGACCTCCTCCTGCGGACACACCCTCCGTCACCCATTATCCATTCCTCACCCCAGCCCACCCCACCTCATGCGCCTTCCCAGCTTGGGGGTCGTGTCTTTCATCAGACTCCAGTCCAGCCCCACACCCTCCGCTGTCAGCAGAGGATTAAATTCCAGGGACTGGCAATCCGCCTCCGCCCAGCAGAGGGCTCCGCGCACAGCAGGGGTCTCTTCACGTGGACTAGCCAGACCCTCCTTTCCCAGGGGAGACTACACGGTGTTGGCTGCACAATGCGCAGGCGTTCTAGCTCTGAGTTTGGCAACCCGATTGCAATCGCGCCTGCGCACCGGGAACCCTGTCTCTGCGCAAGCGCATTGGGCTTCTGGCCAGCCACCGCCCGTCCTCTAGCCCGCCCCAGTTCGCACCGCTAGCCGACCACAGCAGTAACCCTGCCGCCCCTGCACCTCGTTCCGTAGCGGGTCCATCTTGTACACTGACTGGAGCTGGTTCCGAAGCCTCATCGCGATCGCAATCTGGCCCCCCTGAGGAGACGCCATCTTAAAGGCTGATCCTGGCCTGCCACTTCCGGTGCCGCCTGCGGGGCGGGACTTGTCTCCAGGCAACGAGGGCCTAGGTCTTTTCGGATTCGCTCATTCTCTGCAAGGCCCCGCCCATGTCTCTTACTCCCCCGAGTGCTCACCTGAGCCCCGCTGGCCCCTCCCCCTCCTCAATCCATAATTGGGGAGTGGGGGTGTGTGTGGGGAAGGGTCCTATCACTTCCACCTCCTGTAGGAGCCATCAAAGTAGATTCTACCCGACCTCAGGACTAACTTTTGGAGCCTGAAAGACTGCCCCTTCCTACCCCAAAAGGCCTGGCGATCACCGCCAGCTACCGCTCAGGCACGTCAGTCTCCAGTGACTGTGACCCAGCTGAAGAAGGAAGGCTTGGGTCTTCTCCTGGGAAGGCCGCCTTGTAGGCTGACGCGTTGCGGAGCTTCACCCAGACGGCAGGCCTTCTTCCAGCTCCGCTGCCGGAGTTTCTAGGGGCTTTGCGGAGTCTTAGAGAGCGTGGGGTGGGGAAGGAGATCCCCCAGGGACTTAGTGATCTTACTGCCCCCCCACATTTTCCCCCGGCTGCTGGGGATTGGGGGGGTAGCAAGCCCTGGTTAATGATGATGATTTAATCATCGGCGCCTGCGGAGGCCTGGGACAGACTAATGCAGAGCAGATGCCGAAGGAGGAGGGGAGGATGATAGGACACTGCCGCACGGAGACACGCTTAGGTAGCGAGCGCCTGCAGTAGCATAGGCCCAGCCCCACACTTGGGGAGGACTCTGGGATCGTGAGGGCTTGTGCACCGCCATCCCTGGGTCCTTACAGCGAAATTTAAAAAGAATTAAGTTTACTATGACGTATCGACAACAAGTGCAACTGGAGATTCGAGAAGGGTGAGATCCCAATAAGACCTCAAAAGGCTTTGTGGAAAAGGTGGGACTTTGTGCGGGCACAATTTAGACATGGAAGAAGTGTTAGAAGTGTGATGGAAATAGAAAGGCAAAGTGGAGAGGAATATCGGGAAGGAGATCAAGGTGTGGATTTGAGAGTGGTGACAGACACAGCAGCGACTAAGAGTTGGGATTTTAGCCTTAGGACAACAGAGAGCTAGTAGAAGTGGGCAGGTGAGGAGGGAGGTGTTCCCCCATGAATGAACAAAATATCCATTTCTCTTCAAAATGAATTGTGAACAAGCAGCAAGGAGTTATGGAATTCCTGCTTTATTAACCAACTATTCATTATGGCCACTGTTTACTTTCCACTTCTTGGTGGTTGCAATGGCTTCTTGATTGCATTCTTTGTGTCTACCTTTGCACTTCTTTATCCTGTTCTTTACAGAGCAGCTCAGAAATATTCTGATGTCATGAATCAAAAAGGATACTAGGAAGGTTTTGATGAACATGTTTTATTTTGATTGTGATGATAATTTTATGGGTATATAGATGTCAAGACATTAAATTGTACACTTCAAATAACTGAAGTTTGTCAGTTATACTTCAAAAAGCTGTTAATAATAAAATTGAAAAATCAAGTTATTTTTTTTTTCTGTTTAAAAACTTTGGCAAGTAGTGGTAGAGGCCCTGGGTTCATCTCCAAAACTTGTAAACAAACACCAGAAACAAACCTTTTTATAGCTTCCCTTTTCAATCATAATAAAAGCCAAAGGTCTTATAAAGGACTGCAAGGCCCTGCATAGTCTCTCTAGTCACAAAGAACCCTTCAGTATTTACTCCACAGTCACACCAGGGTATGCTGAGTTCCCAACTTGAAATTCTGGGTATCCAAATGGCTCCTTCCTTTACAGTTTTCCCTCCATGAAGCTTCTGTGATCACTATCTATCCCCCTTCACTTCCTTGCTCTATTTTTCTTCCTAGCATTTATTAGCATTATTAGTATTTATTATTATTCAATATATTTTTCTTTTACATATTGCTAATACATATTTGTTAATTTTTCATTTGCATTTCACACTAGAATGAAAGCTTTCAGAGGCAAATCCACCACTATCCATTGTGTTCACAGCTTTATCTCCAATGCCAGGCACATAGTGGGTATTCAATAAAAAAAAAAATTCTGGATGAACAAATAAGTAAGTCCAGGTGGCAGTGTTGGCAGCTTAGATTAGGGTTTTAGCAACGTAGATGGAAAGGGTTGTATCTGAAATTCTCCAAAGGAAAGTTAATAGAAGAAATTAGCCAGGGACTGGATTTGTGGGGCTTGGGCAAGAGGGTGTATGAGGAATTTGGGAGGTAGGCATGTCTTACAGTAGCTTCAGGAATGGCAAAGTGAGCTGGTCAGACAGAAAGGAGTGGTGGGGCTGGAGTGGTGGGGCTAAAGTATCATGTCCCAGAGTTGTCTCGGTAGATGTGAGAGTTGGGAATATTGGAATGGATGAAACCTGAGCAGATGTAGAAATAATGAAAGCTGAAGTTGCTGAGTATGGTGACACACACTTATAATCTCAGATACTAAGGAAGCTGAGGCAGGAGGATCTCCAGTTTGATGCTAACTTCCACAATTTAGTGAGACCCCCTCAAAATAAAAACATTTAAAAGGGGGGCAGCAAAAAAAGGGGGGCCTGGAGTTATGGCTCAGTGGTAGAGCACTTACCTAGCATGTGTGAGGCACTGGGTTTGATTCTCAACACTGTATGTATGTGTGTGTGTATGAATAAAATAAAGGTCCATCAACATCAAAAACAAAATATAATAAAAGGGGGGCAGCTGGGGATGTCGCTCAGTGTTGGAGCTCTTGCCTATTATGTTCATGGCCCTGGCCCTTTTTGAAAACAAAAAGGAAAAAGAAAGGAAGAAAGCTCAAGTCTGTGCTCTGAAGAATGTTCGTACACTTCAGTAGAAGGAGCAAAGTCAGTGAAGGAGAGATGTAAGCCATGACAAAGTCCAAAATACAAAATAATAGAATATTACAGAAGCCAAAAGAAAGGACATTTCAAAAACCATCGATGATCAACAAAGTAAAACATGTTAGGGAAGGCCTGGAAAGAGATGCCAGACACTAGAACTTGTCAAGAAAGTGTCACTATAGGGAAGCCAGTTTGCACTGTGTTATTACAAGAATGAATGATGAGGACATGGGGGCAGTGGACATGGACAGCAAAAAGGAAAAGAGAAACATAATTGTTTTTTGGAGAATCAGGCAAAGATTATGTTCATATGAAGTCAGTTGGGGCCAGGAAGAACTAAGCTGATAAATGATTTAGGAGTGGGAACCATCTTGAATAAAGGACATGGATTAATGACAGAAAGGAGGGAACAAGAGTAGCGGCTAGGGTTTGGCTTCTTCCTATGAGGCTACAAGCTCACACCGAAGACTTGGGGGGCACAGACACAAAGGATATGGTAAGACACATCCAATGTGGTGTGTATTAGAAGGCGCTCACCCCAGTGCCTCAATCTTCAACCTGAACTAGCAGGAACTATCCTTTCCCTGAGAATCGTAATCAGAGAGGTAGAGGCAAGAAGAGAATTTCCCTAGCTCTGTGGCTGACAGAACTGGATGGCCCTCTGTTCTTGAAGTGGGATACTGAAATTTAAAAAAAAAAAACCTCAGGAGATTCATATATACTATTGAGTTTGTGATCATTCTTCTCAAAGGGTCAACTGAGCAATCTCTCGGTGAGAAGCAGTGCCATCTATACCCACCTCAAAAAGAAAGGGATGTACAATAAGCCAGTTATGCATGATGTTTCTTTTTTCTTTAATTGATTTGCCTATTGATTTATTAAAAAAGATTCATTCAACTTGAAATTACTCCCTCCCTCCCCAACCACCCCCCTGAGCATGGAAGGGAGTGGCAAACTCCTAATCTGCAGGCAAGCCCCCTGTCAGAGCCCGCACTTCTTGGCTGGCTATCTCCCTAGGTTCTCTGTTCCCAATCAGCTGAGTCTAGCCCTATGCTATTTCTGAGTGTTTTGCCTCAACAGCAGAGACTACACATTTCCTTATAGCCTCCAGCAGCTGCTAAAAAAGAGCAAGTTTCTGGAAGGGATAGGGAAGGTGATGATGTAAATTTCCTACACCAAGATAAAAACACAGCTGCCAAATTGATAGGAGCCCCCCAGTTTCAGACGGTCTGTTTCTGTGAGCAGGACTGAGGACAATCTGGAGAAATTGGATGATAGAGGTGGCCAACTCTGGGGAGATTATCACATATTATTAATGTCCACTTCCTCCCCCCATGGCTCAACCAACCCCTTCAAACTGAGGATTTGGGAACACCGAGGGGTTGGTGGTTTTGGGTGAGGAAAAAACCCATTTGTCTCTTTCTTAATCTTCCTGCCCAGATGCCCAAATATCATTCTTCGTTCCCAGGAGGAAAAAGACCCCCTCACCCTGCCTCAGGCGCCAGGCTGCCAGCCCATCTGCTGGGGAGAAAGGAGGGACCAGTTTTTCCCAGGGGATCCTGGGGAATCTATTGGAAGTTCAGTGCTCCCAAGGAGATCCATTTACTGGACTTAGAAGGCATTTCGGTTCACACGGGAAACCTGCAGGGTAGAGCGAGCCTTGGAGTAGACTCGGGTTAGGGTAGGGGACTGGCACAACGGGGCGGGGTGTTTTGGCCACCACGTGTCTGAGGCAGGCTCATCGGTGCCCACCCGCTGTGGGATGATAAGAGTGCCCCCCTCCCCGCGCCCAGTCTCACCGGCTCGGAGGCGCCAGGCCCCCCCCCAGGGCCGGGGCGGGCTGGGGAAGGTAATGTAATTCCGGCCCAGCTAACCTGATTATGGCGGCCTGCACCGGGCAGGGTGGCGGCGGGGGCGGGTCTAAGGCTCTGGGGCCCTCCCGGCCAGGGTCCCATCCCGAGGAAGGACGCAGAGTTCACACACTCCCAGCTCCTGGGTTCTCCGCCAGAGGTCACAAGGTCACCAAGCGGTTTCAGCCTTTCCCCAGCTCACTTCGTTGGCACGCCCCAGGTTCATTTTCTGGGGTTTGGTTGGGATAAAGTGTGAATGGGAAACTGGGCGTCCGGGATCCTCCCAAGGCCTCAGCGAGTCCCTCGTGCTGCCGGTGGCGACTTTGTCCTCCGGTCTTTAAGAGGGGAAAGTATGCGAAAATAGACCTCTTGGGCTCAGAATAAAGGGGCAGAATCCCGCCTTGAGGCTTCCCTGCACTAGGGATGATAAGTCGGCCGAGGTTGAGCAACGGGTTTGATTTGCAGCGATTTCGGAAAATCGAAATTCTAAGAAACATGGCACCAATTACCGATGCGTCCGGACAGGACCGGTTGCTCTAAAGGAGAGGTCAGGAGGTACACTAAGGATCAAGAACGCCAAGTGTTTGTCCCCAGCCCGAGCCCGCCGAACTCGCCCTGCCATTCCCTTCCCACACCTGTCCTCTTCTTGGGCCTCTAGATCGCGGGTTGCTGTTCCTCAACCACTTCGTACGCAGCCGGGAAGCCTCAACGAGATTTGGTCTTAGAGAACACTTAGGTGGGGGTCATAACGAATCCAGGAGTTGGCAAGAAGGACCCATCGGGAGGTGAAGAGTGGGGCCTGGGGAAAGAAGCACCTGCCGAGGAAGCCGGTGAAGCGGAGGCAGCCCAAAGGCGGAGGCCAGAAAGGAAGGAGGCGACGTGAGCATCTTGGCTGACTCAGCTGCCCAAGCTCTGGCCCCTCCCGCGCTGAGCCTTGTTCCTAACATCCTCGCCCTCCTCTGCCTCCGCCCCGCACATCCCGCCGGGTGTTTGGCGCAAACAGGCGTCCTTTCCCCTTTAACAGTCGGGCCCCGCCCCTGACCTACCCCCAGCCCCCACTGCCCACCCAGAGCCGGTCTGTCAGTCATTGCCCCAGTCCGAGCTGGTCAACCCTCTCCACCCGAGACTTGGGCAGCGACCTCGGCAGACTAGCGTCCATCTGTGCTTCGGAGCCAGCAAGGGAGCTCGGGGCCCCAGCGGGCCGCGTTCCTCCGGGATGCGAGCCCCAGTGCAGACGCCCGGTAGGGGCGGGCAGCCGCGAGGCTTTTCCAGGCGCACAGGGTTGCTGCTGTTCTGGGGGGCCCGGCGCCCGGCTGTGGCCAGCCTCGCTGGCCCTTGAGGCCGCCGACCTGGGCGCGCCGCCGCTGGGCTCTCAGAGCTATATATCTGCGGCACTCTACTTATCCACGGAACCTCCTGAGGTCTTCCCAGGCTCAGACCCATGGAGCCCGCGGTGCTGGCTCCGCACAACCTCGCGCACCACGAGCCAATCAGCTTCGGCATTGATCAGATTCTGAGCGGCTCCGAACCCCCGGGGGGTGGCCTAGGCCCGGGTCGTACGGTCCAGAGCCACAGCGAGAGTGCGGCATTCTCGGGTGGATTCCATGGAGCCTCGGGTTATGGCCCTGCAGGTTCTCTGGCCCCGCTGCCCAGCAGCTCCGGAGTGGGCCCGGGTGGCGTGATCCGCGTTCCGGCTCATCGCCCGCTGCCAGTGCCGCCGCCCGCGGGAGGCGCCCCTGCGGTGCCTGGGCCCTCGGGTTTGGGCGGCGCCGGGAGCCTAGCTGGACTCACCTTTCCATGGATGGACAGCGGCCGACGCTTGGCCAAGGATCGGCTCACCGGTGAGGTTGCCCGACGCCTCCAGCGTCATGCCACACTCTGACCCTTTTCCTCTTTTCTTTCTGCTCCAACTCAGGGACCTCTTTTTTACTTCCCCTCAGATTATCTCGGGGGATCCTCCTCCACCCCGGACCTTTTGATCCTGCAGATGAGAGCAATGGGGAGGGAGCTGTCGTCGGTGCCTGTACCGCTCTACCTTGCAATTCCACTGTCCACACTGCGGGGTGGGCAGGGTGAAGTTATGGGGGACATCTCTCCTTACTCATGCGGAAGGCCGTTGCTTCCGATATCCCTTCTTGTCTGGATGCTTCTGCTAATGATGGGCCGAGCCTAGGGCCCGGGTAAGGACCAGGGTCTCTTCTCAGCGATACCTCGGGCCACCTCGCAAACCCTACCCTGCTTTTTTTCCCTCCCCATAGCAGCGCTGTCGCCCTTCTCTGGGACGCGCCGCATAGGCCACCCTTACCAAAACCGGACCCCCCCGAAGCGGAAGAAGCCGCGCACGTCCTTTTCCCGCTCGCAGGTGCTGGAGCTGGAACGGCGCTTCCTGCGCCAGAAGTACCTGGCCTCGGCCGAGAGGGCGGCGCTGGCAAAGGCCTTGCGCATGACCGACGCACAGGTGAAGACCTGGTTCCAGAACCGACGCACCAAGTGGCGGTGAGCTAGGGCGGACTGGGGCCCGCGGGGCCGGCCAAGTGGCGGTGAGGCGCGGGGTGGGCGAGGACCGCCTCGCTGACCCCGCATCTCCGCCCGCCCAGGCGCCAGACCGCAGAGGAGCGCGAGGCCGAGAGGCACCGCGCGGGTCGGCTGCTCTTGCACCTGCAGCAGGACGCGCTACCACGGCCGCTGCGGCCGCCCCTGCCCCCGGACCCGCTTTGCCTGCACAACTCATCACTCTTCGCGCTGCAGAATCTGCAGCCTTGGGCCGAAGACAACAAAGTGGCTTCTGTGTCTGGGCTTGCCTCGGTGGTGTGAGCTTCGCCTGCTGGATCCGCCGAGAGCTCTCTTTACCGGACCAAGGCGCCGCGTGGAACGCCCGGTTCGGGCAGTGGAGCGCGGCTGCTCAGGCCCATGGTTTCCTGGCAGCCGGGTGTATGAGAAGCAGCAGGAATTCAGATTATCATCGAGCCGGGTGGGCTCCCAGGCCCCCATCGAATAGACTCCCAGGGTGCTCACACAGGGCTTTTCCCGCCATTTTTCACAGTACCGCATCTACCGGCCAGAGGAACCTTAGAGGGCGGGACCTATAGATTGATAGCCAATAAGGTGCAGGGAGGGGGATGGGCTGGCCAATGGTAGCTACTCTCCTCAGGGACTAGGGGTTCTGCGGTGAATAGGCTCAGAGCCCTGGACTGAGTACTGAGAGCAGCACGTGGTGCTGGGAAGGGTTGGCTGCAGCAGGTGCTGTCTAGGGTTACAACAAAGGTGTGAAGAAAGGAAGATGGCAACAACAGAGAAATGTTGGAGAAGGTGCTGGAGCGCCAGAATCTGACTGATCACGACAGGGACCAGAGGGTTGTCATGTTGGGCATCTCATCCCTCAACTGTAAAATAATAGCTAAGGATTCCTTCTTGACTTTGAGTCTCATGTTGTACTATGTTCAATCTGCTGGCTGTATTCTTTTTGAGCTTCACAGTGCACTTGGGCTGTAGGTGAGAGGAATACTTATACATCAGACAAAATATAAGATCTACGAAGAAAATCTGGCTCTGGTGTCCCACAGGGACAGAAAAGGGAGAAGAGGAAACTGGGCAAAATTAATGAGTCCACACTGAGCATAGTGGCACAGGCCTGTAATCCCGGCTATTCAGGAGGCTGAAGGTGAAGGACTACAAGTTAAAGGCAGCCTCAGCAACTTGGAAAGACCCTGTCTCAAAGAAGGGGATGGGGTGCGAGGAGGCTAGGGATGTAGCTCAGTGGTAGATTGAGCTGGGTAGATAGTGCTGGGTTCAGTTCCTAGTACCCACGGTGGGAGGGGGATGGAGAGAAAGTAATGGGCCCAGTGGAGTTAGGGTGACCAGAATACTTTGGAAATAATAAGACTAAAAAAATGAAAGATAATTTCAGATGGGAAATATGGAGAACAAGAAATCAATGGTGCTGAGGATGATGAAGGGTGAAATTGGGAAGTTTATAGTAAGATTAACCCTAGGCAAAATGAATGTTAGACCTAGAAAGAATAAATTCTGGAAAAGTATCTTTGAGAGACATAAACTGACATCCACATACAGATGAAGATAGAAAATGATGAGAACAGACAGAATCTCCAAGAGAGGGTATTCAGAAGAAAAGCAGAGTTCTAAGGATTAAATCTTGTTTTCCAGCCAAATTCCATAAACATATTTATAATGTGCAAGATGATGAAGGATATCAAAGTTAATAATCCAAGGGCAAAATGGGGGAAGGTATTCATAGCCATTAAGAAAGAATGTTCCTTAAGTGTCAACTTCAGCCAGAGGCTTGCTGGGATGCTTGTTGATGGTGACCTCAGTGAGGGGATGGTTGTAGTAAGGTTTAAAAAGGAGTAAGCTCTAAGTTGTATGACAAAGGAAAGATTCTGTCTGATTCCTCTAGCACTCCCATTCTTCCTCCCCTGGAGGCTGGAACATTGTGACAGAGGAAAGAGAGGCAGGGTCAATGATAGCCAGACTACTCATATTCTGTGCTTTTTACAGTTATGTCAGACAACATAAGGCTTGACCAGGGGTGGGAGCCAGGCAAGAGGCTCCAGGAGTTGGCCCCAGATCTTTGAAATGATGTCATTTCTTCATGCTTGTTGTATATTCTGCTGCAAAATTAAAATCAAACTTGGCATCATAGAAAAATCTTTTATAGATCAAAAGGGAGTACAAGGATGGATCTGACATAACTTGGTAGAATGGGGAGCATGTCAGTCCCTGGGAAATAAGGAAAGCAACAAGAAGGCTAAGGGAAGGATTCTACCAGATATAGACTGTGGCTTACCCCATTCCCTCTACTCCTTTTAGATTCCAGAATTTACATTGACCTTAAACTCTGGCCTTCTAAATCTAGTTGTCTGCTTTGGTGCTAGCCTGAAGGAGGACCATGAGTTGAGCTCAGCTCTAATCCTTAGGTAGGCAGGTCACTGCAGGACACAGGCATCTCTGAACTCCTGGATGGAGGAAGATTCACTCTCTGCCGATGAATCTGCCATTTCTTTCCTCAATTGGTTCAGGAGATCTCTGCTCTCACTGGGGGGCAAGTTACTCAGGAAATATGGAGGTGCCAACTCCACCAACCTGACAGAGAGAATCATAACAAGATAAGCTCTATCTTCTCTTATAAAGCAGACTCTTGAACTTCCTACAACCTCTTCCATGAGCCCTCTCCCCTCAAACCACTAAGATCTCTTCTTAAGTCTAACTTCACAATTTTAGTTTTGGTCCCAGGTAGAGGAATGGGCAGTGCAGGAGGTGTGTCAGGAAACTCACATCTGAGGTTGAATCTCAGAAACAATGGAAAGGCAGTTGTCTTTGGATATGGAGAAACTGTGGTATAGCACCCATTGTGGGGGTCTGGCCGGAGGACGGCGATTTTGGTAGCAGCAATTTGAGGAGAGCTGGGCCACATGCTTATGGGTTAGGAGCAGGTAATTTCCAGTCCCATCTGTGTCTCGGGCCACCTCATTGAAAGACAAAGATATTGAAGGAATAAGTAAACGGAAGAGGCAGAGAGTAGAAAAAAGACAAGGGGGCTGAGAAAGAATTAGTAGGGGTAGTGAGAGTTTTAAAAGTAAAAATATTACCTTTGGGTATTGTCTCTACATATGGTATTTCCATAGTCCCTTGTACTCCAAAAACTCAGAGGAATAGTCCCTCTTGGTTTTAAATATTCTGAATGGTACTTGCATATAAATATCTGTCTCCTTTGTATTTATCATTCTCACCCCAAATTTCAGAGGTAGTATATAAATATCTGTCTCCTCTGTGTTTATCATTCTCACCCCAAACCTTTCCCCTAACCTTGAGGAAGTATCCTGACACCAGTGCTTTCTGAAGATTTCTGCGATTTTGTTCAGAGCCAAAGGCTGGTTGGGTCAAGGGAAGTTCAATTTGCTGCATGAGTTCTTGGAGCTCTCCCCGAAGTTTACAGGCTTGGCACAATGCTGCCCAGTTTAGACCCCGAGCCTGACACCAAGCCTCATTTGCTCCACCTAGGAGAGGAAAGAGACCAGCTACAACTGACGTCCTTGAGGCCTCCTAAAGGATACAGCCTATGGCCAAAAGGCCTCCTCTTCCTGAGCTCAGAGATCTGTCAGATGGTTGCACACTATTTTCCTTTTTGAAAAATCTAGGATTAAGAAGGAACAAAGTGGGCCACTCACTTTGTATAAAGGCTTCATAAACCTGGATCAGAGAGCTGTGGTCACCATCGGGGTGTTCCAGACCCCTACGCAAGGCAGCTTCTTCCGCACAGAGTGGAGGACGGGTAAACCCAGGGGCAACTGGAGGTTGAAGAGAGGAAGGTGGTTTGAGGGAATGAGAAAGGATAGTAGTACAGGTGTAATATTTAAAAGGTACAAATGCCCCTTTGGGAATTTTATTCAAAAAACATTGGTAACTTCTGCATACTCTGCACTTTATTAGACACTAGGGATTAACAACAGTTGGCCTCCATATCTATGGGTTCTACATCTGTGAACTTGAACAACTGTGGATCAAAAATATTCAGAAAAAATTGCATCTAAACAGAAAATGTATGGACTTTTTTTGGTTATAATTCCTTAAAATATAGTGTTTACATTGTATTTGATTTTATAAGTAACCTAGAGATGATCAAGTGCGCTACTGCTGAGCCCAGCCCCAGCCTCATATGCCATTTTATTATAAAAGACATAGGCATCAGTGGATTTGGGTATACACAGTGGGTCCAGGAACCAATCTCCCATGGATTCTGAGGAATGGCTGTAAATGAAGGAGTGCCTTGCCCTCAAGAAGGTTAGTTGGTGGGAGAGACCAACAAGCAAGCAGACCTGATAAGTATGATAGGTATATATATGATACTTTGGAAACACAGAAGAGGGCAGCTTTGGGTGATAGGAGCATGGGTGATATAAGAGAAATGGATGAGGGCTTTGGGCTAATTTTTGAAATTCTGAGTAGGAATTATTAGTTCAGTGGGAATATTTGAGGCTTTGGGAACAGAATGACTATTAATCTAGGTTAACAACATGGCACATTGGGGAACTGTAAGCCACCTGATTTAGGTGGAGGCAATGACATGTGGCAGAATAGCAGGAGCTAAAGCTAAAGGTAGGTATATGCAAGGTCATGAGAGTCTGAATGTGTTGTGCAAAGAAGTTTTTTAGGGGTGTGTGTGTGTGTGTGTGTGTGTGTGTGTGTGAGAGAGAGAGAGAGAGAGAGAGAGAGAGAGAGAGAGAGACACACACACCAGGGATTGATCCTAGGAGTGCTTTTTACCACTAAGCTGCATCCCTAGCCTTCCCTCCACCTTTTCTCTTTGATACGGGGTCTCACAGAGTTGCTGAGGATGACCTCAAACTTATGATCCACTTCCTCAGCTTCCTGAGTTGGTGGAATTACAGATGTGTATCTACATATATCTTGAAGATAAAGAATAGCTGTTGAAGGTTGTAGCTGGGGTTTTAGCTCAGTGGTAGAGTGCTTCCCTAGCATGCATGATGCACTGGGTTTGAGCCTCAGCATCACATAAAAATAAATAAATAAAGGTATTGTGTTCACCTACAACTAAAAAAAAAATTAAAAAGAATAGCTGTTGAAGAGGAGTTTTTTAATAAGGGGTCCACACATTTGAAAATATTTACATGACTAGTGAGGAGACTACTAAAGGAATTCAGCGAACAATGAGGACCTAACATTGGCACTGACAGTGAATATGCAGAGGAATAAATTAATTAAAAATGATATTTATAAAATAAAAATAAGAACCTGCAGAAAGATTAGTTTAGAATTATGGTAGTAGAGGAGCAGAGGTGATGGTATTATCTGAAATTGAGAATCCAAAAAGAGGAAAAAAATTTTATGATGATGGGTAAAGGAGTAGCTTAATAGGATCTTGAGTTCAGATCTGAGTTGAGATACCATGGACTATTCTGGTAGAAATGTCCGACAGAAAATGGGTCTCTCTTCTCCCTTCACTCTATCTTTCCCTCCTCCTTCTCTCTCCCTCTAGAAGAATGGTACTGGCAGAGAGATACAAGGCACGAAGTTTGGATATTTTAAGTATAAAGGCAGAGTTTCAAACCATGAGTGTGGATAAACTTGCTTAGAGTTTGGTGAATGAGAAGACACAAAGACCAAGGATAGAATCCTGAGGACCAATTTACAATGGATGAACAGAGAATAAGGGAGCCCAAGGAATAGATGAGTGGCACCACAGAAACATAGGGAGGAAGCAGTTGCAAAGTGGGAGTGGTCAGCACTTTCGCATCAAAAGGTCACAAATAAAGGCTTAGAAGTCTCTGAGTTGTGTATCTGGAAGGTCACTGGTAAGTTGAAAGCTGATATGTGGGCCTGCAATGATAATCCAGTGGTGAGCAACACATTACATAGAATGAGATAGATCATGTTGTATAGCTGAGGAGGCAGAGGTGTGTGGATTTCAGTAATAAGACAAGAGTTGTAAGCAAGTAGAGAGGTAAGAAGCAGCAGAGAGAAAAGGCTGCAGAAATTAGAGGGATAGGTGATTATGCCCTGTGGGGGGTGGGAACTAGAGCACAAGGGAAAGGACAAGTCTTAGGAGCACTAAAACACAAGAAGAAGGGTTGCGGTGACCATACAAGCAGTGATTTATAGGAGTGAGGGACTGGGAGTGTAGCTCAGTGGTAAAGCACTTGTCTAGCCTGGCTTCTATCCCCAGCACCACAAACACACACACACACACACACCGCAGACTAACAAGTGATATAAATTTTAACCCCTTTGTGGCTTAAAGCTATAAATATACCAGTGAGCATGGCAGCAAGTGTGAGCATCTCATCTACGCAGTCAAACTCGCAGGAGGCCAGCAGGGCTTTGGCCAGCTCAGGGGACAGGGGAAACTCTGATAGGATGACTCCCAGGTCTGATAGGTCCCCATCATCATCCAGAGCTGCCAGATAGTCTAAGTCTTCCAGTGCCTGCATCAATGCTTCTGGAGCTGGTGAGGAAGCAGAGCTTAGAGGGTGTAAAGTCTGAGCAGGAGGTCAGAGAGTAGCACTTGAGCAGGATGGGTGCTCACCAGGCCGGTCCAGGAAGTGGCACTCCCCTGGCTCTGCAATCTGTCTCCTCTTTAGTAGTAACACCAGGGGACTCAGATTCTCTTCACACACCCTGGGTTGTGGCAGTGGGGGAGCCTCTAGTTCTAGGAAGGACTGAGGGTACAGGCAGAGGCAGGACCCTGAGGGGAGAAAGACCTGGGAAAGTAGACTTCTCAGGGCTGATGTGCTATGACTGCTCTGCTTGACCTCATTGAGGGTAAAGGCTCTTACCTGGTGGGAACCCTCTCGCTCGAAGTCGTCTTGCCTCTGCCTGACACTTGCTAATTGGTCTTAATACTTGTGATTCTGCCCGGATCCGAGGATTGTAAACCTGTTGTCCACCCCCCAACCAATGTCAGTACAGATCAGAGTGGGCCATTTGACTTTAGCCCCACTCCCCCTTATCTCACTCACACTTCGAAGCTCCAGTCCTGAATCAATGACATGATGGATAGAAGGGAGGGAGAAGGAGAAGTCAGCCAGCCAATGAGTGACCACAACTTTCCGGGCACCCATATCTGTGTCTTCATATACAGCCTGTATCGCTTGGCCACAGCCCGGATGAAGGGGCAGCACCCGTGGTTGAGGTCCTGGGAGAGCTAAGGTCCCCACTTCCCTCGACAAGGATTCACAGCACAGGGAAATTTCCTGAAGAGAGGGGCAGGCCATTAGGGCAGTTCTCACCTTTTAGGGGGAGTCAGAAACTCCTTTGTCAAACTGATGGAAACTATGGCCCTTCACTCTGAAAACTGTATATACTCAGAAAGTTGGGGATGTTATCATTTCAGTTCACTGAACCATAAATCCCTGCGTTAGAAATCAAAAAGTGGGTGGCAGCTCTATCCTGAAATTCTTGTTTTCCCTAAGACCCCAGCAGAGTAAATACCACCACTCCAGTATCCCATCCCCTCAGGACAGGAAGGCATACATGATTATTTATTTATTTTTTTGGCAGTATTGGGAATCAAACCCAGGGCCTCATGTATGCTATGTAAGCCCTCTACCATTGAGCTACATTGTTAGCCTAAGCATTTTTTTTTTTTGTGTGTGTGTGTGTGTAATCCCATTATTTTACCTCCTCACTGGACAGGTACACAAGCACATCTCCTGGAACCTCCTTTTGACACAACTCAAGCACAGCTTGACAGGCAGCTTCCACTGGATCAATAGGGATAGTGTCTCTGTAGACAGGGGTGGGACTCCCACCAGGTTCTTTGGGTATGTGCACAGTAGGAGGATTGCCCCAGAAGGCCTGGAGCTTAGGTTCAAGGGCTGGGTCGGTAACCACAACCACTTTAGGGTCCCCTGGAAGGTTTCTTAGCTTGATATCTCGCAGCAGCCCCTGAAGTGAGTCTGAGGCCACCGACCGCTCTTGAGCCTCATCCAGCACCAGCACACCCCAGCCTCCAACGCCCCGGGATGAGGCCACCTCCTGCAGAAGCAGCCTGTCCCAGCAGAACCTGTTGACATTGGTAGTAGGCAGAGGAATCAGGATGGACACTGATTGGTCCTAGAAGTCCAAGGGAACCTCTCCTCAAGGGACCTGGATTTTGATATTGAGAGTCAGAAAAAGATACTGTGACTGACTTTCTGAGCTTGGGGAGTTATAACTATGACACCTCAACTCCACTGAGGACATCTGGTTCATAAACAGGGAAGTTAGATTTTCAAGGTGAATGTGAGGGGATCTCACATTCCTGGCTGGAACTCAGAGGCTTAATTTAATACTTGTACTGTGCATGATTTAAAAGGGTGAACTGGGTTGGGGAAGGGTATGGACATTTCTACTTGGTGAAGGAAATTAGATTGAGGTCAGGCGTGCAAAGGACCCCACCTGAGCAGGGTGTCAGACTCTGTGCAGTTCTCTTGAGGGATGCTGTATCCAACCTCATGACCCAGAGTCAGGTCCATCTCATCAGCAACCTGCACAGCCAAGCTCAGGGCTGCCAGAGGGTAAGGCTGAGTGACAGTAACCTGGCCGTTCTGGAACCCTCTGGCTAATGCAAACTCTGCACACCACTGAGGGATCTGGGGTAGGGGTAGAAAAGGAAAATTGGTCAGAAATAGAGGGATTCAATCAGAAGTGCTGGGGAGGGCCTACGGCCAGGGCTCCTGATTTGGGGAGTCCTTGGTTCTTTACCAGCCTAGCCCATCTCCCTCTGCCCAACTCCCCTGTATCCCCGCACAACCCATCCCTTACCTAGAAAAAGGCCAAATCCCTTAGCCCCTCCCCTTGTCCACTCCCAGAATCTCCCACCACCTGGGTGCTCTTGCCAGAGCCAGGCTCTCCAGACACTAGCACCACTCCAGTGGGGCTGCTCTCCAAGTGCTCCAAGAAGGTGAAGCGAGCAGCCCAGATGGGCAAGGCTCGGCGCTGCTCAAGCAGCTCGTAGTAGCGGGAAGAAAAGGGAAGCCCATCAAAGGGGTTTACAGCCAATTCAGACTCCCGAGGACTTGAGCTACACTCTTCTGCCAGCCTAGGAGGCTGAGAGGCCATGGTGGCTATCCGGCAGAACCTAAAGGAGGCAGGGCAGCTAGTAAGACCTCATATTTGGTGTCTGACACCGTCTTCCCACCTCAGGTAATAAGGCCCCAGGGTCCATTCTTTCCAGCATTTCTTGCTTGCTGGGAGACAGTGCTAGGTGTTTCTAAGGAACCATGGATAGTTAACTTTTAACCTGTAGTAAAAATCTTGTAACACAGGGGTTCTTGGGGGCAACAGGAACGAGACATAATAACCTGCTGGAAGTTCCCAAGAAGAAAATAAATAATATGAGGGGTAGGGGCAGGAGAGCAGGGTCATAAGAATCTTGGATTCAAACCTGCTTGCAGCTGTGAGACGCCTCAGGACGGCAGCCGGTTCCAAACCTACCCAACCAACCCTGACTTGCTTGAAGTACAAAGGTAAGTTCCGGTTCCACCCTTAGGCTAGGCTCAAACTCCAATCCTAAAGTTTGCTTTTAGGGTGGGGCCATTTGCTCCACTTGATTTAACCTATCCAGGAACCTATGGAAAACAGGCTTCTACCAAGACACTGAGCATGTGTGAACCCGAGAGTCCTGTGCTTGTGAAAGACATTCTGGGACTTGTAGTTTTACAGCAGCAGCTTTACAAACCTATGTATTCATACAGTGCTGAACATCCAAGCTGGGGTCCAGCTGCTGCCTATCTTCATTTTATTTACACTTTCTCAGGATCACTTATTTTTTGGCATAGATGATTTCGCACAGTTCCATTCTAGCCACCCCTCATATACCTACAAGGAGACTTACCCGTGTACCCTCTAACCAAGGGAAAAGGAACCTGTTCATGGGGCTTTTGAAACCCACAGAGGCAACAGAGACCTTGAGTGAAAACCCTGAATTTAATTTGAGATTGGGGGAGCCCCATCCCTCCCTTTTTACCACCCACTCATCCGGCCTTTTGTGAGTTGGGTGAGGGCTGCCCCCAGTCTCCGTCCTGCGGCTCTGGGTGCCATCCTGTTCCTTTGAGCTCAGTCAGCCTCCTGGGCCTGTCTCTCTCTGAATCTCCTGTGGGACACAGGGAGAGACATTGTGTAGGCTTTGTCACATTAGCTCCATAATGCCCTTTGCAACTTGCCCCTTCTTACTCATTGTCCTCTATCCCCCTCACCTTCTTGCATATTCATATAGTGCCTGCTTGCGCTCCTGCAGGCTCTCCTGACGGGCCCAGGAAGACTTGGCAAATGTTAGGGCTGTGGGTTGAGGGGTCACCAGGCCAGAGCTGGGGAACTGAGGTGATCACAATGTCAGAGGGCTTGCGAAGTCATCATCATTAAACACGCATCGAATGCCTACTTTGCAAGAGAGGCACTGTGCTAGGGTCTCAGGATCAAAAAGAGAAACTAGGGATAGGGTATATGTAGACTGCCCCAACCTACCCTAAATCTTGGACTTGACCACTTCCTGGGTCTCACCTTTGGGGTGGAGGCTGTGGGCAGAGACTGAGTTCCCTCAGTGATGTCTTCAGGCATGAAAGCCACAGCCCCCTCAAGCAGATTAGTGATGGTCAAGTCTACACAGCCAGTTCTAGCTGGGAAGAAAGGAAAAGAGGAGAAGGGAGTCCATTCCCTGCTCATCTTCTTCTTTCACAACCCACTTTTCCTCCTTGTGTTTGTCACTGTGTGTGGCCACCCTTTCCCATACCCAGGTCTCTCTGGATGACACCCAATGGCACATGGGGCAAAACTTCCTTGACTCTCTGAGCCAGAGTTGCCAGTTGTACATCAGGAGAAGGGCCAGGAGAGGGAGGGAAAGAAGACTGGGCTGCAGGAAAAAAAAAAAAAAAAAGGAAAAACAGAAAAAAGAAAAAATCAGATACATGGTAAACAGAGAACTAGGAAGGAGGAGAAGCTGACTAGCTCAGAAATAGGAAATCACAATAGGCTGAAACAAAACAAAATGAACAAACAAAAACAAAATCAAAAAGCTTTGTGTATAGAGGAAACACACCTGACTGGGGGCGCAGTCTGGGGTGTCTTTGTCGCTTCATGTGTTCTGCTTTGTCTGCTGGTGTGAGGCGTGTCCCTGTTTGTCCCAATTCCTTGGCCAACAACTAGGAAAATTGCAAGGTTTTAAGTGTCAAGATCTTAAGACCTCCTACTCCTCTCCCCAAGGAGGTACTTCCACCCTGCCTGTGTACCCTACCACCTGTTGTACTCGAAGTGCAAACTCCTCATTCCCCTCCCCCAGCTGGCGATGAACAGGATGAAGCCACCTGCAAAAAACAACCCAGTGCCATATTAGGGAACTCAGAATAGAGACTGTCATCTCTTCCTAACTTTGGTACCTCTTTTCATGGGACAGTGATGGTAAGGGTGGGGAAATAGTAAATGTTATTGCCTCTGTGGTTGAACTTTGATAATAAAAAACCTACAAATGGACAGAGCAGAGGCCACTACGTCCTTGACCTTGAGGTGAGCCTCTTCCCAGCCACCAAAAAGTGAGGACAGTTAATACCTTACTTGATACACCGTGAAAGGGACGAAAAGTGACCACAGCAGTTCTGAGACCCAGGAGGCATCTGACACCGTCTGAGGGGAGGGTATGAAGTGAGGCCTAAGCCAAGACCAGGGGTGGGAAAGTTCCCCTCCAAACCCCAGAGATTCCCTGTCTAGCACACACTCACCACAGAGACCAGGGGTCTCTGAACTTGCAAGGTAAGAGGCTGTACCACATCCTGGATAGAAAATGGCCAGGAACTAGAAGAGAAAAGAGAGACTAGGATGGGAGTCCAGGTAGCCCAGCCAGCAGCTCATACCCAACTTAGAACAGTAAATGGTCCAGCTGCACAAGCAGATAAACAAGGAAGAGATCCAGGGAAAGAACTAAAAATGACAAAAAAATGGAATGAACTAGGACTGAATGGGACAGGCTGAAAGTTTTGAAAACTAAGTGATCACCAGCTCAACCAGTTGGAGCCAGATATCTGTGCTCACTCACCTGAAGCGCAGGAGTCCTTCCCGGCCATTGGTGGCCTCTTCCTCAGGAAACAGCAGTAGAGGGGTAGGGGGAAGTCTCGTGGAAGCACAGAATCTCTTGAGTGACTCCACCAACTCCCCCTGCCTATCCATTTCCATGAAGCCCCGAGACCAGCACACAAAGCTGGGGGGACTATTGAGCAGAGGCTGGGAAACGGGAGGAGAGAAAGCAAGAAGAATGGAAGGAAAAGAGAAAATAAATGAGATAAGGGGTAGTGGAGTGGGGTCAGGGGCAAGGCTCGGTATCTCCCAAGAGAAACCCCAAGCCGGGAGAGGTGAGCCTTGAGTTTGGGCCCAGTGATCCACCCGGTGGCGATCGGGGCCTCGCCCCCGCCCCCACTCACGGTGCTACAGGTGGTGAGCAGGTTGACTATGTTGTGATCGAAAGGTGTCACATGGTTGGAAATGAGGACCCTGACGCGGTGATCCCTAAGTCCGGAGTCCTCCTGTCGAGCCACCAGCCCCAGCACTGCACACATGGTCCGTACCACGAACCTGGGAATACAGGCTGTGGTGACTGTCCGACCTCCGGCCGGTCCCAGCCCAGAGACTCCCAGAGTGCCCGAGTCGGAACCTGCGAAGGACGCTGTCCGGCAGCGCGCAGCTGACCAGGAAGACGTGGATCCCCAGAAAGAGACGCAGGACGAGGAGGCAGAACCCGATGGGCGCGTAGAGCAGCAGCGCGAGGAGCAGGAAGCCGTCACCTGGGAGCCTGGGGGCGAAAGGCGAGGTGATCAAGTGCCGAAGGCCGAGAGGACGCGGGAGCCGGCCTCTTCTCTTTGGAGCTCTTACCGGTGCGAGTCAAAGAGCCGCTCCGGCCCCGGGGCCGGGGGAGGCTCCATCGCAGCTGCTTCAAGGAAGCCCTGCCGCTGCCGCCGCCGCCATCTTCGCGCCGGGCCGCAGGGGCTCCTGGGAAGGCGGAGTCTTGGGGCATCAGCCCGGGTGCCGGGACCAGAAGTCCGAGGCGCCCCGGAAGGGCTAGCGGTCCCAGCATGCCCCGCGGCCTCTTGGGCAGCCTAAGAACTAGCGTCCCACCGGGACCACAATTCCCGGCATTCGTGGAGCGGGGCGGAGTCGGCCTCCGGGAATCCTGGGTCCCGGCGTGCACTTCTGGAGGACTTCAGGTACCAGCGTGCCCCGCTTCCCGCTGTCCGCCTGCTAGCGTCCGGGGCACCGCCTTTGAGTAGGGCGGGCGAGGAGGCAACCGAGGCGGAGCTGATGGCTGCGCTGAGGGCGGGGCGGGGTGCAGGCTGGAGCCTCCGTGGATTGCGGGCTTTGGGGGGTATTCTCTGGGGTAAGGGACCCTTGTTGACCCCTGACCTCCGGGCCCTGCTGACGTCAGGCACTCCTGACCTCCAGGCCCGGGTGACTTATGGGACCCCCGGTCTCCGGGCCCGGTTGTCTGTGGGGGTCCCTGAGTCGCGGGCATGTTTGACGTCTGGGACCCCGGACCCCCGGGCACGACTGACTGCTGAGACTCCAGATCCCCAGACCCAGGAGTCCTCGGGGACCCCTGGAACCCGCTCGCGCTTGTGGCTGGCGGTAGCGCTGGGCGCTGGGGGGGCTGTGCTGCTGCTGTTGTGGGGCGGGGGTCGGGGTCCCCCATCGGTCCTTGCTGCTGTCCCTGCTCCGCCACCCACCTCACCCCGGAGCCAGTACAATTTCATCGCAGACGTAGTGGAGAAGACGGCACCTGCCGTGGTCTATATCGAGATCCTGGACCGGTAATGGTGGGATAGAATTGGAGGCATCCTAGTCGCGGCCCAAGGGTGGGTGAACGGGAAGAATGGGAGCTTCCTCATCTCCATGGTTCCCTTTCCTATTTCAGGCACCCTTTCTCTGGCCGTGAAGTCCCTATCTCGAACGGCTCAGGATTTGTGGTAGCTGCTGACGGGCTCATTGTTACCAATGCCCATGTGGTGGCCGATCGGCGCCGAGTCCGTGTGAGGCTGCCTAGTGGCGACACATATGAGGCCATGGTCACAGCTGTGGATCCTGTGGCAGACATTGCCACGCTGAGGATTCAGACCAAGGTGGGGTTGGAGTAAGTCACGTCTGGTTGGAGCTATTTGCTTACTCTCATCTCTAGATGACAGTCCCCCTGCCTCATTCTTCCTTAGGAACCTCTCCCCACATTGCCCCTGGGACGGTCCGCTGATGTCCGGCAAGGGGAGTTTGTTGTTGCCATGGGAAGTCCGTTTGCACTGCAGAACACGATCACATCCGGCATTGTCAGCTCTGCTCAACGTCCAGCCAGAGACCTGGGACTCCCGCAAACCAATGTGGAATACATTCAAACTGATGCAGCTATTGATGTACGTCCTGATATGTGAGAAATGACAGTTGGGATTGGTGGATGTGTAGTACAGGAGCCAACTTATGAGCCTATATTCAGAGGTTGGGCTGCAAAAAGGCAGCCTCTCATTCATGGGCTGGGAGAGAAGACAATTTGGAGAAAATGCCTATAACTTGGTTATGTCCCCAGGCTTAGAATCCCTAGAACTCTTCCATATTTTCTTCTTGTCCTGCAGTTTGGAAACTCTGGAGGTCCCCTGGTTAACCTGGTGAGTGTGATCTTTCTTCTAAGAATTCCTGCCTCAGGACAGAGTAGAAATGGTGTTTTTTTTCCTCTGACTTACAAATACAAGTTTCTGTGCGATCACTGTTGCCTGTCTTCCTGTGTCCAATCATATCCCCTCAATAGTCTCTGCT